AGGTGATCCCTCCCAGGGTAACGAGAGGGCGGAGGGTGAGAGGGCAGTTATTAGATTATACCTCACAGGCGAGCGCTCGTTTTGTGCTCGTGTTATTAGTTATAGTATGAAAAAGGGTGTCAAAGATTTTGTTTTAATTTTTTTAGCTGTGTGGCTATTGTGTGAGGTGTATACAGGGTGTAAGGGACGGTGTAATGAATACTATACAAAATTGTTTTGTTTAAAAATGATATTTTAAAGAATAACCAGAACATTTTACCTTTTTTTTTACCTTTTAATTATTTCTTTTGATAAGTTGAATAGGTTTTGGCCTACTATACCACGCTGGCCAGACGGGTTTGTGACAAGTTTTCCTTCTCTCTGCAGCGCTGTTCCTCTGCGTAGTTTTCTTCCTTAGTCGGCTCTTACGACACCCAAGAGATGAATACAGAGTGTCACCACCTCGGTGACACTCTGTATTCTTAATCCGTCACCACACGTCCTTTCTAAGGAGAGGCCTATGTCCAGCAGTGCACTATTGATAGCTGTTGATGTGATGATGTGATGTGAAGTTCAATAGATGGGACTTGATGCTAAACGTCTAATGATGGAGCCAGAAGGTGGAAAGTAAATCTTTTTTTTTAATTTAGTTAAATCAGAGGTCACGGGATCTATTCTCTTCTAGGACAAATAATTGTATAATGATCACGGTCATTTGTTTTATGTTTACGGTTTAATGTATCTATAACATGTTTGTATTTAGAAATATATAATTATGTTTATCAGCTGTCTGGTTAGTATGGGATCGGTCTCGTTTGGGATCAAACGTCGTGAGTGAGATGTTTCAAATATGAAGTCATTTTTAAGTAACTGATGGACAAAGGACACAAGTCCCCGTTGACGGTAATCAATTACTGATGGTTTTAAACACTCAATGGGGGTGTAACACTCTCTGTTATAGATATGTAGCTCCGTGGTAGCCGGATATGTCCTTCAGATTATTAATATGTCAATATTTCTTTTAACTGAAACTTTTATTACCTTGCCTCCAATTTTTCTACCATTTATCGCATGTCGCCCCCAGCCAATATGGCGGCGCTCGCATCAGCTGGCCGTGTGCATAATTGAAGTTCAAAATGATTCAATGATGAAAATAAATATTGTTCTCAGTTTTTAATATAAGTCTATTATCTAAAGGATTGTATTTATTATGTATGTATCCCGTACTTTTCAAATTCGAAATTTCAAATAATTTTCCGAAAATTTTACGTACGATCCGAATTTTTTTTCACTTGCATCGTCATTTCATTAAAACCACACCACACTTTATTTTCCTAAGTAATACATCTATACAGTATAAAATCCAGCTCCCACTGTTTATATCACTTTCTTTAAATATATGTGATTACGATACTCTGTAGCCTACTGTAACTTATGAGAGAAATAAATTTGTTATTTTTATAATAATATCTCACACATCTCCGTCTGATCGGAAACTAGTCAGAGCCTATATATATGCTATGGTAACCAGACTGCTGATAAACATACTTATATTTTTTTAAAACATACATATTATAGATAAATTACACCCAGACACAGAACAAATGACCGTGCTCATCACACAATATTTGTCCTTGGTGGCAATCGAACGCACGACCTCCGGTTTAGCACTATCCACTAGACCAACAGGCAAATTAAACTGTCCGTCTGTGTGAAAAAATACAGGTAAGTACTTTTAATTACAAAAAGGTGATTTTAATTTTTATAGTTTTTAATAGACACTCACAGTTAGACAAATCTAATGACACCATTCCAAGCCAAAATCCGTCAAGCCGTTTAGGCTATAGAGGTAGCTTAAGGCACATACATACATACGTACACTCGATTCGTACACTCGAAATACATAACCCTCCTTCTGTCTGACGCAGTCGGACAACAACTGGACCAACTTATAAAACAACCCCAACAGATACTTCGTTCATACTTCAACTGGAAAGTGAAAGGGCCGTTTTTCATTCACTTAAAATGTGAAATAAGACTTCCTGTTTACAAATAGTCCACGACACAAGCGCTAGGATTAAGTCCCTTTGGTGTTGTGGGGGTGTAAAGCCACCGGAAACTTACACCCTTTTACAACGGAACACACTGGACAATTGGGTTGTGTGGTGTAAAGAGGCCGGTTGCGGAAGGATTAAGTTATTGATCTGTTTGTTCAACTTACAAATATGTAAGAAATTTTGGATACTGTCTTCTGACCACGTTAGAGTTTTTAAAGTGAAAACTTCTTTAAGGCGTTGGGCATTTTTGAACAACAAACTAAAGAATGATATTTTTTGAGATGGGACAAAACCATTGAACTCGCGACACGGTTACTGTTACCGACACCTCTGTATATAAGTATCTACATATATTGGCCCCGTTTACACGAGAGTTGAGTTTGGGTTGAAATACATTGATAATATCATCAACAGCCTATAACAGTCCACTGCTGGACATAGGCCTCTCCTTAGAAAGGAGGTTTTGGCCTACTGTACCACGCTGGCCAGACGGGTTGGTATAGGGTTTGTTTCAAGTTTTCCTTCTCTTTGCAGTGCTGTTGTCCTGCATATCTTGCTCCCTTAGTCGGTTCTTACGACACCCACGGGATGAATGGGGGTGGTGACATTCCGTATTCTTAATCCGTCACCACACGGACTCATTGATAATATAATATAAACATAATATTGTGGATATACGTACCAGTTCCGTCATAAATATACATATATATTCATGTCAGAACATGTAAAAAAATATACATTTTCTAGTTTTCACTTCTGTCGGCACTTCCAGAGTGATACTGTTTTTGTTTAAGTATAGGAGGGTAAACGAGCAGTCGGTTCACCTGATGATAAGTGACCACCGGCGCCCATGGAGACCAGCAACTCAGGAAGCAAATGTGCGTTGCCGGCCGTTGCGCAGAGAGAGAGAGAGAGAGAGAGAGAGAGAGAGAGAGAGAGAGGTTTGGCTCCGGTGACCGCACTCACTCAGTAAAAAGCAAGTACTAATAAAGAACTTTTAACATCAGTTTTTAGTGATGCCGTGGTATCACCCCGGTCGAGCTTCTCCAGTTGTTACGAAGCACGGTTCTAGCACGCTTTATTAAGGAGCAGTATTTTTTTTTCTTAATGGTCTTAACATCTTCTTATATTATTGTTAATACGAGAAGATGTAACAAAGTTACGGTGATGCTTATTTATTAGTTTAGTAGCTGACCAGCGCAACTTCGTCTGCGTCTGTCAATAGTAATAAATTTTCCCCGTTTTTGAAACATTCTTCATTTTTGCTCCGCTCCTATTGGTCTTAGCGTGATGATATATAGCCTATAGCCTTCCTCGATAAATGGGCTATCTAACACTGAAAGAATTTTTCAAATCGGACCAGTAGTTCCTGAGATTAGCGCGTTCAAACAAACAAACAAACTCTTCAGCTTTATAATATTAGTATAGATGTGATATTATGCTAATAACCATAAAAATAATATCCTGACTATGACGTCTACCTTAAAGATCCAGGGAGTCAGCGTCAAGCATAACTTGTAAACCCTTTCAATATTAGTAAAGTTAGAACAGAATAGAATAAGCTTTATTGTACACCAGTTCAGTACATCATACTTACAGGAGTATTTCAAGTTAATGACTATGTACAAATGGCGGCCTTATCGCTAAAAAGCGATTTTTTACAGGCAACCTTTGGATGGACAAATAGACTGTAGATAGGTAATTTCATGAGCATTTTTGGTGTAAAAGAAACTGAATTGAATAAAGTGACAGAAAAATTGAAAAAAAAAACGTTTAATTGAGCTTAAACTTTAACTGAACCTGATAACTCAGAACAGCAGAATGCTGAGTGATAGTTAGCCGCAAGCTTCTCGGGTAGAGGCACTTTATTAGTTAGTATAATTTGGGAAAACATTGTATTTTCTAGTTTTAACTTGTTGTTCAAGTTTGTGGCCGTACCGCTTAAAAAAAATGGTGTTGATCGAAGAACATAATTTAACTAACTTTGGTATCTTGTGAGTAGATGACATTTTTTTCAAGTGTTTTAGTCTTCCCTGATAAAATCTTTGGCAGTGTCAAATGACAATTCCTCAATTGTATGATAACGGTTTGCGGTTGTTTTTTTAACCAGGTTGCCCGTCGATGGACAGATGCTTTGCTAAGTTTTTTTAAACTTAAGTGACTATATAAAGTTTGTTTTTAGGGGTAATAGTATTAATAATATATCGCTTTAATGTAAACTAATAACTTAAATTAGGTTAGACAAGTACAAATGGCGGCCTTATCGCTTAGAGGCAATCTCTTACAGGCAACCGTGGTATGGAAAGAAAAACATGAAGGGGAAGAGGTATAGGGTTAAAAGCTGGTGTTTTAAGAAATAGATAAAACGAGGAAATTAAAGTAGTGTATATAAACTTCATATTAGTGTTATCTACACGTACTTTTAAAGTTCCATGGCCTATTAAAATACCTATATATAGTTATTTAAATATATGGGTGGAGAAAACCTCCTTTCTAAGAAGAGGCCTATGTCCAGCAGTGGACTATTAAAGACTGTCGATGATGATGATGATGGAAATTGTGACTGTCATGGTCAAGGGGTGACTTTAACAGACAAGTTTATAGTAGGACTGTTTAGAGGTACCATTAATTCCGATTAGCGATAGTTCTGTATAATTATTTAAGTCAGGAACACAGGGGAGATATAGATCTATCTATATATATATATATATATATATATATATATATATATCCGTCTATATCTCTCCTGTATTAATGTCAACACCTTGCACTATCCCAATTGCTTGTAGATATTCTATCAGCCATTTACTGAAATTCCACTACGCAACCACTTTACCTACTTAAAAATAAAAAAAAAAAAAATATTTTCGTAAATGAGCACTAAACCCACCTGATAAGAAGATCCTATTCAATTTCACCAGCTGCTCCTATCCATGATAGTCCAAAACACAAGTCCATCACAAAATGAGCATCACGGTCACAGCACCAAAAAACCAGTCAAAGATGGCGATTGTCCAAAATTGGTGTGACGGTGGAAAGGCGGGCGGCAAGTGGCACCGAGCTGCCTTGCCGCGCCGCGCCGCTCCGCTCGCAGCCAAAGGGCGGTCGCCTCCTTCAATAATTCACCAGCTCCAACCAACCGGCTCCCTGTCCCATCACAACGCCCCATATCGCGCTGTCTCTTTCCTACGTTGCGCATTTACTACACGATTTCTTGCGTCCCGTTTGAACATGTTGGGGTCGTGTGATGGCCTCTCGTTCGCTCTCATTAGGCGGGTCTCGTGTCTTGTTTTATGCAGTATGTTTGGCGAACGTTTTATAAGGTTTGCAGAGCGGCGTACAGAGCACCAGCTTGGCGCAGAGGTTTCAATATTTGTTAAATGGTGTGTCACTTACGACCTTATACGAGTAATCTAATTAGTACGTAAATACCTGTTTACGCGTGGGTGACTAAAAGTTGCATATGATCAACCTATACCGTAAGAAGAAATTTAATTATAATTTGTTAGACAGAGGATTAGGTATTATAGAAAATTCACATAATATTTGATTTCTTATCTACTCCACTTTTTGCACCGCACAATCAATCTGTGGAACGGGTTATCGTCTGCGGTATTTCCAGACCGATACGACCTTCAATAAAAGAGCGTACTCCTTCCTAAAAGGCCGGCAACGCGTTTGTGACTCCTGAGTTGCAGACGTTCATGGGCAGCGATGGTCACTTTCCATCAGGTGACCCGTCTGCTCGTCTGCCCCCTCCAACATAAATAAAGAACCTACATAGTAGCAGAGGCCTGACTTAAGAAAATGATAGGTTTTTTTTTACTTTTTTAAATTTAATAACACACACACATATATAGTTACATAATTATTCAAAGGCATTTGCTAATGTTGCCAGTCTTCTGTGAACGATACAAGGAGGTGATGATGCGGAGGAATTTTTGATGCTTGCATGTAAATAATGTAAATATTGTAAATATTTTAATAGCATTATTTACAAACTAAAAAGAAGATCCACCTACAACTCAGGCTCTTTCCTTCTTGTTATTCTTTTTTGAAAGACAACTCCCGCATTATGAATATATCCTGTGTTGTTGGGGACTTTACAAACATATCTACATAAAACGGACAAAAAAAAACACATAGACTCAGAACAACAATTTGTGGATCACACACAAGTGTCGTCCCATGTGGGGATCGAACCCACAACACTCAGCGTAGTAGTGAACGGTGCCGGCGTGGTCATCTCTATCTTCCGTAAGTAAAGGACAATGGCAGGTCCCCATACATCATTTTATTTGAAGTGAAATGACAGCGTTTAAATATCAAAAATGCCTATAACCCTTGAGAATTTATTCTTGAACATTCTCATAAAAAAATTACTAGCGAAAGAAGTCTAGGAAAAAAGATATTGGATTTTGAATGTTTCGAGGTTAAGTACTAAAATATTGTCAATGTTTTGTTTGAAACTAGATGGCGTTGTGTGTCATATATTCGAAAATATTATTCATCATTATTATTACTCATAAGCAACCCTATTTTGCTGTAGAAACTGTTAGCCGACTCTCTAAAAGGGTATTTGCTTGGCACGTATTGGTAAACAATAGAAAACAATCTTCGCTTTCCAAGCAGGTGTAATACTAGCTATATATAAATTAATTATTAATAATAATTTGAATAAATGTACGTTTACACAAGGCGGAAGCATTTATTTATTTATTCGACAGCCAGTAGTTGTGACATTATTTACTAAAATCTAAAGCATGCATCCATTATATTGAGAATAATGCACAACATTTTAAGGCATCACATCATGCATAATGGAGTAACACTATATAAAATTAAAATAAACATATATGAGAGTTTAATATCTACTAAACAAAAATAAAACAACCAAACAAACTACAATTGCCTTGTGAGAAATGGAATGTAAGTCATGCGAGTAAGTGTCAAACGACAAGACTAGTAAGTGCGACGACGACATATCCACATTTTAAAAATATCGATGTATGTGTATTTATGTGCTGTTATCAACCTTTCTATGTCTTTTTCTCATCACACTAAGCAGTATATTGTTTTAATATTTTTCCGTAGGAAAATAACGTAACTATATTCTATTTATTTTGGTGTGGCAAAAATCTTTTAAAAAGAGTCAAAAATATTCTAAATTATTTCTAATTAGGTTGATTTAGTCACTACGGTACTAGTTACGGTAGCGTACGAGTGAAACCGTGGGCAGAAGCAAATTCATATTCATAATAGGTGAACCTTCGATAGATATTTAAGTCAAAGTTATAACAATCGATTTTCGATAAAACGTTCCATAATATAATAATGTCATTACGCATCCCTAGTCAGTTATACGTGATGGCGATTCTGACATTACGTACTTAGGTCAAATAAAATCTTTAAAAATTTCCAATCTCTTATAAGACTTATACAACACATGGCGGTATAATCATAAATCATAGAAAAAATATTTAGTAAGTTTACTGTTAGTCAATTTTTTAAACGCTTCAGTTTTAGGTAAATATGTTTCTGCCATTGAAAATATTCTAATGTAATTAATATAAGTACTCTGGGTATATGATATCCTATATATGCTATATTTTTTTAATTTATTTTGTGCATCTACCATGTTTTAGCTCTGCATCGCCCTAAGGTCGACTGGGAGAAAATGCCTACGGCATCAAGTCCGCCTTTGTCACATTTGTGCACAAAGTGTAATTAAATATTCTACCTACTTATGTCGTTACACAAATAGGTACAAAGTTACATTTGAATTCAACATTTAGAAGTAGGTAAAAATGCTCTTCATAGATTAGTTACAAACCAGTGAAACTAATAAAAGTATTTTAATAATTTAAAATATTGCACAAAGGTACATAGCCCTCTAAAAAGTACACTGTGGTACCCAGTCAGACCTTCCTCATAAAGTTCCAACCTAAATTGTGCACTTCTCCCGTCCACCTGCCTAAGGTGGGTCTGTTCCGTTCACTAGGACAAACTAATTAGTCCTAGTAGATAACTAGCTTCACGAGTCATCGGTATTCGGCAGAAGTGACCAGTTTTACTTGCTTACATTTTTACTGAGAAAGAAATACCTATTATATAGAATATAAATAGCAGAGGAAAACTGTATTGGACACCAATTTCAATTACAAGGAATTTATTACAAAGGCATAATTAAATCAGTTAAACCGGCAGTTGCAGTTAAATTCATATCTCATTTATATCAATATCATAATCATAAAAAGAAAAATCGGTCGTGATGCACGGAAATGCTAGGGACAGTAGGAAAATGTGTATATGTATTGGTGATGTAGAATGTCGGGTGTTTTCGTATTTTTGCATGGTTTGTTCGATTGTTATACTGTACTATTGAGTCACCTAATTTGTATTGTTCAAAAAATGCTTGTACTTGTGTAACAATTTATTCTTCTGCGTTCTCTCTCAAATTTTTTGCAATGCCTGGAAAAGGCTTCTAAGTTGGGACTACTACATATATTATAAGATCATTGATGTACACTTGGTTGGCAAATAAAGATTTGATTTGAGATTTGATTTATACGGTGTTGATTGCATTGTCTAATGTACTGGCTGTTTGGTTTTAGCGGTAACAATTGAAATTCTTCCTGTACTTGTGACGGAAATACCTAAACGGCATGACAGAATGTGGTGTTAGACAGGTTGGGTTAACTGCGCCCATCTTGTTTAATATCTATTTAAAAACACCTGATTGCCGAGCTTAGCAGCGTATACGCCTGTTGCTACTTGCATGGATAACATAAACTATGCTGATGACATGGCGCTGCAGACACCTTCGAGGGCGGGACTTATAAAACTAATTAAAATATCTATCTATTGTAAACATTACTGAGGGTCACGGCTTAGGATACTAATATCCTAATCGTCTGCTGTAGAAAGTGCGAGTCAGCTCCTGAACGGAATTACTAATAAGCTGGATTGTCCTGTCATGTATTATTTAATTCAGTTACTTTTATGACATAGTTTTATTAATAATTAATTAATGTATTTAACATAGCATCTTTAGGTATATGTTTTTAAATCTTCTTCTTTATCCTCGCCCTATCCCATTTTAATTGGGGTCGGCTCTCCTAATCAATCTTCGATAGGACGTTCTGTCCTGGGTCGTCTGCGGATCTATTTGGGCCGTTTGCAGATCTTTTTTTATGACTGATTGCCATGTTAAACGGGGTCTTCCTCGTCCTCTTGGTCCGGTTTTAATTTCAAGAACTCTCTTGGTCATGTGATCTTCTGGCCGCCTCATGACATGCCCGTACCACCTCAGTCTACTCTCCAGCAGCTTTTCTGGGATTGGCCTGACTCTAATATATGTAGTATACGTTTTTAAATGCAATTTAAAAATTCTCACAGTTAAGATGCTCACAAGTTGTTGGAGTTTAAAGTAGGCGTTTACCTGTATTTCAGGTCTCAGGTGTATAAGTTTCAAATTATTACGAACAGAATCTGGAATTAAGTTCTGAAATAAATGAATTATATTATAAAAACTTTTCCTGTGCATTTTGATGATTCTCCAATCGGATAAGATAGATGACGTTGTAGTCAGCTTCCATTAAACTACTTTTTTACTACTTTTTTCTTTTTTTAAAGTTTTTTTTTTAAATAAATTTTACCACACGAGCTGCCTGCCAGTTTGTATGTGATACCGATAACAATTCAAGTAACAACCTGTGGTTTTCTAAATTAAAACTATTCCCATTAGAAATTATTTAGAAGCTAGTTTAATTATATATTTTACAAAAATAAACATTATTAAGCCAAATAATATAAGGTAATAGTTGTGTAAATGAACCTCTCTTTGTAAATTGCGATATGTTTGTGTGAGAGGGTGTATTGTTAATTTATCTTTAATTACTTAATATTTAATTATGATTACTTAATAGAAATTAGATATTCGTACGGAACCCAGTAGCCGGTAGAAGATTTTCCGTTTCACGATAATCCAGACCCTTCAACCAGGATGTGACCTTTCTTTTACAATCGTTTTTAGTTCGGCCATATATATATATATATAGATATATAAATTGGTTCTGTCACGAAAAAATCCGCAGCTGTAGTGGTTGGGATGTTTTGAAATTAAAAAATAAATGTTGTATAGCGCCATCTATCTGTGAATTTCGTAATTTTTTGGTTTACTGTCTAATAAGAATTACAAAGTTTCAACGTTTTGTCGACAGAAAGCGACGTCGAGTGTTGCCCTCTAGAGCGAATTTTCAGGCAAATTAGGCGTTACTATAAGGTATCCGTGTGGTGACGGATTAAGAATACAAATTGTCACCACCCCAATTCATCCCGTGGGTGTAGTAAGAGCCGACTAAGGGAGCAAACTAAACAGGACAACAGCACTGCAAAGAGAAGGAAAACTTGAAACAAACCCTATACCAACCCGTCTGGCCAGTGTGGTATAGTAGGCCAAACCTCCTTTCTAAGGAGAGGCCTATGTCCAGCAGTGGACTAGTATAGGCTATTGATGTGTGATGAGATGTGTGATGACAAGGTATTGATTAGATGTTTTCAAACGTTCTACTTGGTCTAGTACATAGTTACCCTGCCTGCTAAGCTGGAGGACGTGGGTTCGTCCCAGGTGGGCGTCCCTGGGTGGGTCCCAGGACAAATATTGCGTGATGAGCACTGAGCACGATCATTTGTTGTGTCTGGACGTAATTTATCAATAATATGTAGAATAGAATAAACTTTATTGTACACTAGTTTGGTACATCACATTTAATGATCACGTATAAATGGCGGTTTTATCGCTTAAAAGAGTGCAGTACAGGCTCTGCCTAGTTTGGGATCAGACGACTGCCATATGTGAGATGTGTAAAGTATTTTTTTTATAACATAATAATTGTAGATTCTTAATAAAATACTAATTTTGTAAAAAGGGATCCCATTATAACATAACCTTAAGTTAACTTCATACAGTTTAATCGATTGTAAATAAGCATGCCATTGGAACTTTGTTTCATGCAAATGTGAATCACACATTTGCTCAAGCTTGATTCGACATTACTAAAATCACAAACATACCATGGGAGAGTCATGGTTCGGCACGAATAGGCCGACTCGACCGGAGTGACACCACGGCCTCACAGAAAACCGGTGTTAAGCAATTCTTTCGTTGCCTTTCACTGAGTGAGTTAGGTTACCGGAGCCCAAATCCCCCCTCCCGCCGACTCGAGCGAGAGGGACTCTAAGGGCAGCAACGCACCTGTGACTTGAGATGTCCATGGGCGGCGGTAGTTGCTTACCATAAGGTGACCCGTCTGCTCGTTTGCCCCTTATACCATAAAAAAAATACTTACTGAGGGAAATCGTATTGTGTAACATAAACACCTTCAGACATTAATAACATATTTGTATCTGATAAAAGTAAATTTGGATATAATAGCTTCTACGTTGAGATGTAATATTCTTATACGACTGTCACTTCAAGTTTCTGTGAAAACGAAGGATAATAATTTATGGTAGACAATAACTGTCCGGGTCTGTGTGGTGACAGATAAAGAATACAGAGTTTCACCTATTAAACCCACGGGTGTCGTAAGAGCCGACTAAGGGAGCAAACTACGCCGGACACTGCAGAGAGAAGGAAAACTTGACAAAACCCTATACCAACCCGCCTGGCCAGCGTGGTATAGTAGGCCAAAACCTCCTTTCTAAGGAGAGGCTTATGTCCAACAGTGGACCATTAGAGGCTGTTGATGATGATGATGAATCACCGTCCGGGTCCGTGTGGTGATAAAGAATACAGAGTGTCACCACTCCTATACGCAGAACAACAGCACTGCAGAGAGAAGGAAAACTTGACACAAACCCTATATCAACCCGTCTGGCCAGCGTGGTATAGTAGGCCAAAACCTCCTTTCTAAGGAGAGGCTTATGTCCAGCAGTGGACTATTAAAGGCTGTTGATGTGATGTGATGTAAGAAAATCACTATTTAAGGTAGTTATATATAAGAAATTAAACACCAGTAAATATTTTAAACCAACTTTATTTTTAGCTAAAATATAATAATTCATACATCAAAGAAGTTTCCTAATGATACAGTAATAATACCGAGATATTACAAAAAGAAAAAAATAAAATGTATTACAATAAAATAGTAATAAAAATAAAGTATAATAAGTAGCTACCTCACGTAATACTTTAGGATTTATAACTGGGCTCTATCAGCAAATGCCTGCATTTGTGCGGGATTTTGAGCTTTATTCGGTCAATCTTAAAACTGTTATCAGATCCAGGGAAAGAATAATATCGGGAAATGGGCACTGGACGGTTGTCGAGGGTGTTAGGAAATGTTGAAATGAGCGAGAGCGCTACAGGGACAAAACAAATCGTTGTACAAAACATCAATAATGGCACTAAAATTGTTCATCTACTAACGAAAATAATTTAGAAACGTTAACAAAACCCCCAGGGCGCGCTCGCTGTTCAAAGACAGTAGCGCCATCTCTATTCTGTATAGTACAACTTTACATGGTTGTCTTTTTATAGTTCTCAAACACGGTAAACAGATGGCGCCACATAAAACTTAACTATAACACAACAGTCAACTGAAGCGTCAGATAGAAAGAGACAGAAAACAACACGTGACGTCAACTAGAAGAGTACACCGATGATTATGTCCACAACATTGCTTAACGATTGTACAGTCAGTGTTCTTAAAGACATTCCTATGCTAATATGGCAAACGGTCCTTGATATGCAACGTCCGAGTGAGACAGAGCGAGGCGGGCGCGGCGCGTGCGAGTGAGAGCGAGACCGCGCCCAAGCTGACAGTGGACAAAGAAACGTAACCTACCTACACTTAGGTCTACGACGCGTCTTCGTTTGCCATTTCCCTCGGGAGCGCGTCACTAACATATAGCCACTTAGTACCTAATTGTTAGTAAAAATCCTTAACGCATTCAAAATATATATATAATTAATATAGTTCATTATATAGTAGCTGATCCTAAACCGATACTTTCTGTATAATGTGTATAATATCGTACATCTATGTTTTTTCTCAAATAACTCTGTGCCTAATTACATTTAAGCCGTTTTTTGAAAAGCTCGTACAGGGTATATAAAGTGTTGGACATTTTTGCCGAGTGACAAACATTTATTTTAAAACTACACGTATGAGGAAATCACGAAGCGATTTGTACCGTAAAAATGCGTATTTGCTGTTGTACTAACAAAGTAAATGCGGGGGAACGGACACTGTGCGCAGAACGATAAAAGCGTACAATCACTTATGTATCCAATAATATACAATCATAGTATCTGATAGCTTACACGCTAAGTTTCCTCTTATGACCGACTCCATACGAAATTACAACGACTACGATTTAATACATACAGTTTTTTTATTTCATTTGTCTTAAACGTAGAAATGAATAGAAAAAGTGTTGACAACCCTATATTGCTGTTCTAAAACAACGTCCTTCTACGAAAAGCAAGCGAGGAAGTAAAAAATTATTAATTTGTGTTACGTATAAATTTGATATGATCATTTTTAAAGACCTTAGAAATAACTACAAATAAAATGTATACTTATATCGAAGTCGATGTGCGCCACAGTTACACATGCATACGTCACGGTATAATATCATTTTTAAATTCCAAAAGTTTCGCAGTAATCTCGCCGACGATGTAATCTCAATCAACTGGGCTGTCACTCTTGACAGCTGTCAACATGACATGCGTCAGTTGCGTTTAGTGAATGCTCCGCGCTTTCATTGACGTCGATATAACATACCAAGTCTTGTGCCACGCGAGTGTCGGTGCAAAGCTTCATACACACTACAAAGGTAAAAGGTACGTTACCAACTGACGTAAATATAAAATCAATTCCGTTATAGAAATGTACTGTTTTTTTTTCTCTTTATCCGTCAGCGATACTTCGGTACACGTCAAGATAGTATTAAAATTGAACAGTACTTTAAATTTAACTCTTATTTTTGTGCGATTAAGATACAAAATGATTAAAAAGAGCTATAACCGTGTGAAATTCTAAGCATTATTGTGCGAAAATTAAGACTTTTATTCTTAAATAGCATCTTACCGACTCTTTCCACGTAATTTAGTTTATAATATGAACTTGTACTTACATTTATTTAATGAATATTATACACATATATGTTCGATATTCAATTACATCTTTTTAGAAATATACAACTGCGAATAGTAAAATTATAACAGTGTATTCTTAGAGCTCAATAACAAGAATGTAAAACACCCAATTTGAAACAGTAATCCCTTAAAATACGGTTTAATTTCCTAATATTTTATTTTTTTGCTAGTTTGTGACGTGCACAGAAGTATCGCTAGGTGGTAGGGAGGCGGTGAGGCGAGAGGGTTGCGGTGGTGGTGGGGTGTGACGCAAGTGTGCGCGTGCGCATTAAGTACGGCCGCGGCGCGTGCACATTACATGGTGCTGTTGTCCCACTCCAACTGGCTGATGTTCCTGTATTTGTGCTCCTTGCCCGGCATCACTGCGGAAATATAACTCGTTTGAATACCACAATTCAAATAAATAATTATGTACACACGGCAACAAAATGCCTGGTCAGGTTTACATGTACGAGTCATTCAGGTAAGTTAGTATAGGTTTACATGTGTGTGGATTGTAAATAACTAGTTTTGAAAACATGCTGCGTTATTAGTTTCAATGTCTAAAGTAATTAAGGATGAAATAAAATCACAATCATCCACAATCATAATATAATCACGTCTGTGAATAATTAGAAAAATCACCGTGACTTATTATTATTGTTATCAAATAAAAGGTCTTTGATAAAAACAAAATTAAATATATCTGTTTTTTTCTTTGTTTGAGTTATGATGGCATTTATCTTTGTCTCTGGCCATGTCACAGTAGTGATTAATTACTGGAAAAATCGCAGTGACCAAAACCAATCATTACATCATATGATTATAATTTGAAAGTAGCAATTATTTTCATCACTAATAGTCCATAAAATAGTTCAATAAAATCACAGGTACTTTATACTGCTGACCAGGTATTTCGTTCGTCGTGTCTATTTATTACTTCTTAACTTCTAACGAAAAAAGAATGAACGTAAGAGATAGGTGATTTGCATAGTGATATAAAATATATTGAACTTTTGTTATATGACAGATCTTATTGCCCTATTTATTTTGTTTGTGCCGTCAAGATAGTAACAATCTGTAAATTTTTTTTAAGGTCTACTAGCAGCCGAAAATACTAGTATTCCCGTTAACATCTCCCGCTAATTGCTTGTGTTAGGAGTGGGTTCACATCGGTAGTGTACTGGTCAGGATTCGAACCCACGACCTCTTGATCGCAATTCTAATGCCTTAACCACTAGGCCACCGCCGTTTAAACCGCCACACAGTTTTAAATTATGAAAAGTTTAAATCTTAAAAATACCCGATAATAAGTTAATGTTGTTGAATTTTTGACCTGTAGTCAATTCATCATCATCATCATCAATAGCCTTTAATAGTCCACTGCTGGACATAGGCATCTCCTTAGAAAGGAGGTTTTGGCCTACTACACCACGCTGGCCAGACGGGTTTTTTATAGGGTTTGTGTCAAGTTTTCCTTCTCTCTGCAGTGCTGTTGTCCTGCGTACTTTGCTCCCTTAGTCGGCTCTTACGACACCCACGGGATGAATTGGGGTAGTGACATTCCGTATTCTTAATCCGTCACTACACGGATAATTAGTTAATAATAAACACACAGTTTTAAATTATGAAAAGTTAAAATCATAAAAATACCCGATAATAAATTAATGTTGTTGAATTTTTGACCTGTGGTCAATTAACAAAAAGAAAAAACAAGTGACCGTTACCTTCGTCGTCTTCGTCGGAGGAGTCGTGTTGGTCGGAGTCGGAGTCGGAGCACGACTCGCCGTCCGAGCTGTCCGCCGCGCCCGCGTGGGTCCCGCACGACGGGGCTGCGGACTGACGACCACAAAAGTTTCATTCACTAATATTAGGGTCAATTAATCTTCACAGGGAACATGGGGTTCGGGTCGTCTACTCGTCTGTAGATGACCCGAGGTATGTCGGGGCACCAGGGACTTCCTTTCTAGGGTATACCTGGTTCCCCGGCTATTAGTACCCGAAACGGCGTGCGGTTTTAGTCGGTTCGAGTCCGACATGCCACCGACAGGTGGTATCCGAGGGGATTTCCGCACGGAAAAAAAAAGGGTGAATTAATCTTTGAGTCCCTAACAGAGTAAGGGGGGAAGTTTTTTAACTATGGTCCAATGAGCCTGGCTCTCAAGGCGAATTATCATTTCCATAAATTCACACATGGGTAGTTTAGAAATTAGAAATTACCAATAGTACGTAATAGTAATATATTATACAAGCCGTATTGTTTAACCGACTTCAAAAAGGAGGTTATCAATTCGAATGTGTATATTTTTTTTGTTCGAAAAGGGTTTATCCAAAATGGTCCCTTTAAAATTTCATATAGATCTGATGATAAGTTTCGAAGACAGACAACGGAACTCTTCAAAAAATGACAGCAAATCAACCGCGATTACTGCTAGGTTTTTAGTGCTCTTTGTTGTTAGTATTGTTTGAATTCCGTTCCACTTTTTTTTAAAGGATTTTTGTTTCGAAAGTGTTACTTGAAAGAGAAATAAAACATTTTCATTCTTATTTTCATGGCAGTCATGATCGAAGGGCTCGACGTTAGGTATGTTTTTATTCATTATGGTTCACAAATTGGGTGTGACAAAGTGTAAACATTTTATGTGCAAACCCTAAGGCAGTGAACACGTCGTGCTTTAGTGACGGAATGAAATACAGAAATAAAATGTTAGGATTCGTTGTTTTTCGCTTAAGTTTTGCTATTTTTAGTTTTACAGTATTATGAAGAGCGTCTTCATTTAACTTTTTTTTTTGGTCATTGTTTTTACATTTTCGGATCTAAACGAATTCATATTTTGCTTTTTGACCGCAGTTTTAGTTTTCTATTTGAGAATTCAAGAATTCTTGGATTTTTTAACTGTACAATACCGAGTATACTGTAACTATACCGATGTTTAGTAGAATCATGATATATGTTAGGCATTCTATGATAATTTATTATTTCAATTTGAGTAATTACGATATCAAAATCATAATTCAAAATATATTACAGTTCTGTGTGACGACTCCCACATACGAAGAAACATACTACAGCGCCGTCTAACGAAGACACACCTGAGACAGAATTGCTCATTCCGTAGTTACTCCGTAGTTCGGTGTGTAATCCTGTATCGCGAAATGAAGAATTCTCTCGCCGATTAGCATGGTATGATCATCTCGCCTGGTTGGAGGATCCTCTTTTCGTGTTGGAGGGACATGACAAGCGTTCCTCCACAGGTGTTATATTATTCTAACGCAAAGTAAGGTTAGATGATCATGTCTCGAGAATAGCAGTTCAAAGTGGTCTATTTTCAATATCTATGGCTTCGAATCGCGATTCTCGAGAGAACTTTCATCGCCCGATATACGATCAAAAGTCACTAGGTGATTTAACTAGTTTCCGCTAGATGGGGTCGAAGGACCATTCCTTGTCACTTATTTGTCGGTACAACCTCGAGACCAGTAAAGATATAACAGTTATATTTACGAACAATAACGAAGCGTCAAGTTTACCTCTTCCATAGGGTTGACGGTGATGGTGAGCGCGGAGTCATCCCAGGCCATCTCCGAGTCGTGTTCGCGCGCGCGCAGCGCGTGCAGCGCGTGCAGCGCGTGGTGCGCGGGCGGGGCGCGCGCGCGGGCCGAGCGGGCCCCGCGCGCGCGCGCCACGAACACGCCCGCCGCCAGCACGATCACTCCGCACGACACCACGCCGATGAGCAGCGCCACGTGGTCTGCGACAGTACACGGGTCGTTAGCTAGCGCTATAGTTACGGCGGTGGGGCTCGGGGGCTCGGGGGCTCGGGGGCGGTACGCACTGGCGGGGCGGTCGGCGCGCAGCTCGATGAGGCGCGGCGCGGGCACGTCGGCGAGGTGCGCGTCGCGCTGCGCGTGCGCCGCGTACACGCGCGGGGACTGCGCCGCAGCGGCCTGGTGGTGCGCACCGTGCTCCGCCTGGGGACGGCGACGTCACACACGTTACTTACTATATAACTACTTTTAGATTACTTATTAAAATCATTCTAAATACAACGACAACATAAAACGTTCTAGATATATTGCGATTACCTGTTTGTCCCTCGCGACGGCGTCCACCTTGTCGGCCATGCCGCTGGGGTGCAGCTCGCGCGCCGCCTCGCCGCCCGCCATGTGCGGGTGCACCACCGTCAGCTGGGGACCACACGATAAACACTTTCACTTAATGTTCACTTGGAAACAAAGTTGCGTGCGTGTGCGTGTATGTGTATGCGTGTACGTTTGCAAGTTGTCGGTTTGTATATCACATCGTCACATCAATAGACTTTAATAGTCCACTGCTGAACATAGGCCTCTTCTTAAAAAAGAGATTTTGGTCTATTTTAGTTTCACTTTCATTATAAAGTTAAATGAAAATAGACCAAAATCTCCTTAACACTATTAACCTTTCTTATAAACCGTTCCATTTTGGGGCATATTCTTACTTTGAGTGTGTTTTTTACTATCTTTGAATTGTATGTTTTCGATTGTGTATATAAATTAATATCTCTGTCTAAAAACTATCACACTGATGAATAAAAACTATAAAGAACTATGATGAAGAAAATCTAAGAAAGCTTTTAACACTTCTTCTAAAAAATATAGAAACCCCAAATTAGCATAAAAACTGATATTTTGTAGGATAAAAGCAATCCCTCTGTCTTCTTTATTTAAGCACCTTAATACATAATGTCTTTTTTGTACCACATAATTCCTTCTTCATCTCCTTGTGAAATAATATACATAACACAGACAACTTGATTCAAATAACACAACACAGTTATTGTACTACCAACGCCATCTACCGACATCTACATAAACTACTTGAATATCATTTATCCTACATTGCACTATAGAAATTCACAAGGGTCAAATGTAAATCATCCTAAAATTAAATTGGAAAAATTGGTTTATTATATACTTTAATATCTATTTTATCCCAACAAACCTATATTTTAAAGAAACAGCAATATTTACATTACGTATTTTGTATTTAAAAAAACAATTTAAATTTCCCTTGAAAACGCTGAATAGTGTCATGGCGTCTTGAATGACGTCACAGTCTGCGAAACAAAACTGTTTAAATATGTGTCCAGTGTGAACTGAAATTGTATTAAGGTAACAAAATATGCTAAAAACGAAAAACAACAATGAGTAACCTGCTCTGTTGTATGAAAACGTCAACAACAATAATGATGTTTTGCGTGGCGTGACGTAACACTTTTTGATTGGTGTTCGCTGTCACGTGACTTAATGCCTATTTTTTTTTAAATTATTTTTAAAAAATATTAATAATCTTTAACTTTTATGAGAAATTTACTGGTTTTTTCATATCTATGTCTCTTCATTTATAATTTGAAACTATGAACCAAGCAATTTGTTATTGGTGGACACAAGACTATTATGTAAAATGAGTGTTCTACATACCGTTTGCACGTACTCGTTGCTGGTGAAACGTCCGTTGAGCTCGGAGCAGGTCAGCTTGAACACGCGGTTGAGATAGTACGCCGGCTTCTTGTTGCTGTACTCGATTTCATGGAGCACCTGCACAATATGGGATATTTGATGCTTAAATTATTCAATTTGTGTGTGTATGGTAAGTTAGTTGAGAGTTTAGTGGATATAGAAATTTTAATTACATTCTAAATTCTGATGGTTCAGGATATTTTTGTGTGATATGTGTATAAATCTAGTACCATTACAAATCGTGGGTAACATGTGTGGTGACTTCCACATACAAAGAAAAAAAAAACGTATTACCGCGCCATCTAACGAAAGCACACCGAACTACGGAGTAACTGCTAATCCTTTATCTCGATATAAACAATTATTTCACTGATTAACATGTATTAAAATGCAGGCATGATCACCTCGCCTGGTCGGAAAATCCTTCCTTTGTGTTGGAGAAACATGAAAATCACGAATTGCCATACAACCTTATTTTGTCCCCTTAGGGGTGCAATTTCCAAAAACCCTGATGATGCTGCGCTGATGAATCAGTGAGTCAGTCAGGGAAAGTACTTTTATTTGTGTTGATATGTAAATCTTTTCGGTTTTTAACATATTTTTTTATCACTCTCCTGTAATCTGTGAGAGTAATTACGTGAAAAAGGACGGTTATGTGTAACACGCGCGATATTTGATATAAACTATTTGCCTTAAATCTTTTATAAAGTTGCAGAAATTTCTGTGGTTTGAACATTTAGACAGCTAGTTTCCTCCATAGAATATAAGCATAGAGTGAACAAGAGCCCCAATCTAGTAATATAGGCAACGAGAGAGATGGACAATACACAGTTGCCTCTGTCTCTTTCTAGCCGAGCTCTGTGGTTGGCTGGGGAATATGAGGGGTTAGTAAGCAGCCAATCACAGCTTAGCTAAACAGAGACAGAGGGAACATCCATCTATTTCGTTGCCTGTATCGCTTCCACTAACAAGCAGCCGTACCCCGTGTTCTCTCTATGCTTATATCACCACTAGCTGACCCGCGCAACTTCGTCTGCGTCTCTCAATAGTAATAAATTTTCTCCGTTTTTGAAACATTATTCATTGGTGCTCCGCTCCTATTGGTCTTAGCGTGATGATATATAGCCTATAGCCTTCCTCGATAAATGGGCTATCTAACACTGAAAGAATTTTTCAAATCGGACCAGTAGTTCCTGAGATTAGCGCGTTCAAACAAACAAACAAACAAACAAACAAACTCTTCAGCTTTATAATATTAGTATAGATGTATCCGTACCTTCTGGTAGTTCTGTACGGTGTCAGCGCCGGTGAGGATGACCCCGTCGCGGGTGACGGCGGCGCGGATGTCGTAGCGCAGCGGCAGGTCGCTGGCGTCGCGCAGCGCCAGCGCCTCGTGGTCGGGGTTCAGCGCCGGGTACACCGACACCACGCACGAGTCCAGCTTCTGGCTCTCCTCTGTCAACCACATACGACTACATTAGCTGGTGTCTTATTATCATCATTACTTATACATGTTTTAGTCATTTTTTCTTTTGAGAACTTCTTGGTAAGAAATAGAGTGTGTGTTTCCGTATGACAAGTGTGATGTCTATTAAATAAAACACTAACAAAAGTTGTAAATAAATTAAGTAGACATTACATGTATTTATCACTTAATATACAGGTATAAACAATATTCTTTTTCTTCTTTTTCCTTCTTCTAAGTACACAAAGAGAAATAAAAGAGATATCTTTAATCTCTGCAGTGCCTGTTAGAACATGTGTTATGCCAACTATTAGGTAATACTTAGGTCCAGTTATTTTTATCTAAGTAGACAATTACTAAGTAGGTATGTTCACTTACCAGGTAAAGGTCGTTCGTTGCCAGGAGCGAGCACCCTTACAGAAAGGTCGGGGAAGACGGTGAGTCCAGCTCGGAAGTGCGCGTAGTCCCGGGCCAGGTCCTCGCTGCCGTTCAGCAGGATACTGGGCGTCTGAGGAGCCAGCACCATTATGTACGACTCCGCCGGACGGGCCACGATCATACGGCCGTTATCACATCTGAAATCATACCATCCTTTCTAATGCTCTGTTTTTAGGACATCTTAGAGCCAAATAGAGTTAAATAAAAATGTATCACATCAACAGCCAATAATAGTCCACTGCTGGACATAGGCCTCTCCTTAAAAAGGAGGTTTTGGCCTACTATAACACGCTGGCCAGACGGGTTGTTATAGGGTTTGTGTCAAGTTTTCCTTCTCTTTGCAGTGCTGTTGTCCTGCGTAGTTTGCTACCTCAGTCGGCTCTTACGACACCCACGGGATGAATAGGGGTGGTGACAATCCGTATTCTTAATCCGTCACCACACGGGTAACAAACAAAAATGTATGCTGACAAAAAATTGTATGTCAAAAAATGTATTAAGCCCTCGGCAAATAGTTTAGTTTTATCTGTCATGTTCAAAATCTAATATATAAAATTCTCGTGTCACGGTGTGCGTGGTTGAACTACTCCGAAACGGCTCGACCGATTTTCGTATAATTTTTTAAATAATGTATATGGCAAAACAACGTCTGCCGGGTCAGCTAGTAAATATATATGTTTATTATATTACATTATAAAGGTATTTACTATTCTTTTTTTCTGGTGGGTTTTCTCTACAGTATAATATAATATTACCAATAAACAAACATGTCATCCTGGCCAAAGAACTTAATTAGTTTTATCCATTAATAGAATATAAAAATATTTTAGTATCATCATCATCATCATCATCAACAGCCTTTAATAGTCCACTGCTGGACATAGGCCTCCCCTTAGAAAGGAGGTTTTAGTATAGGAGATTAGAATCGCGAAACCTGAATTGCACTTTATTGTTTTGGAAAAAGAGTCGCAATTTATTTAAAGGACTTTGCTGAGTGAGAGTTTTGTTGACCTATCATCCTATAACCTGTATTGTGTGGTTTTAGCTTTAAATGTATACGGTGACTCACGTGATGGTGGTGGCGACGTGCACGTTCCTCCTGCCAGGAGTGGGGAAGGCGCGCGCGTCTCCGTACGACACGCGTCTCAGCAGGGTCTCCACGTCCGCCACACCGTCTCCCTCCACCGACACCGATTTCAGATCTAACACACCAAAAAAAAGAAGTTCAGAAGATTGTTGTTACTATCGTTACAAAATGAGAAGTAAATGATACTGACATAGATCAGGTGCGAGGCTCAGCCCCTCCCGGCAGTGTGCGAGACAGGAGAGAGCTCGTGGTGTCTGTACACCCCCCCTCAGCACGCCCAGCCCCGCTAGTCCTCCACGCAGGTGGTGCTTCATGTCGTGTTCCGTGCCTACCGAGAAAACAAATAGTTCAAGGACACTTTACACATCTGGTATACAAAACGTAGGATTGGTTATAATTAAAATACAGATTGGTTATAAATAATTAAAATTCATAGTTAACTGTCATTTTATATCAAGTCTAAAAGAAGCTGAAATGACCATTTTTAATACTATTTTTTAACGTTTTTTTTTTAAATTAAAAGACAATTCTCGCGTTAGGAATATATCCTGTGTCGCGGGGGACTTTACAAACATACATGAAACGGACATAAAGAACACCCAGACTCAGAACAACAATTTGTGGATCACACAAAGTGTCGTCCCATGTGGGGATCGAACCCACTCCAATACTCCAAGTGCAGGAGTTTCCTTGTCCAAGTCCAAGACCTTGAGTTGAAGAATTTTCTATTTAAAAGAAATTAAATTAAAGCATTACATGTGTAAGTGGCGTTGCCTTTGTTACCTTGCCAGCAGGCGCCGACAACGAGGGTGGTGTTAACGCCATGCGCTGGGTGCAGCGGCCAGTCGTCGATGACCTCGGGCCCCTTGGCGTCGGGCGCGTGGTACGCCTCGCCGTCCACGAACAGCTCCACGTTCGGGAAGCGGACGTTCACGGCATAGTGGTGCCATTCGTTGTCGCACACCTGCACACAATTACTTACATGCTTATTTAATGGTTCAGAGATACAGTCAAGGAGAAAGTGGGAGTGGTGGCCTATCAAGAGGTCAAACAGAAAGCAAAATGAGAGGCGTGGCGATTGCTTCATCGACAAGAGCTCTTAAATTGAGAGAGAGGGAGAGGGTGAGAAAGAGAGTGAGAGGGACAGATACAGAGATAGAGAGGGAGGGGGAGAGAAGGGGAGAGGGGGGGGGGAAGGGAGAGAGGGGGGGGGGGAGATACAGTGTCACGTATGGACCAGCTCGATCGGAGTACGGCTTCACAGGAAACCGGTGTTAAGCAATTCTTTTGTTGCTCTCCACCTAGTGAGTGAGGTTACTTGGGAACTAACTGTAACTCAAAGGCAGATATTGAACTCATGACTCTCATTTGCAGGTGACTATGATGCCCAATAGTCACCATAATTACCAACAGATCACCCATTGGTTCGATTCATTCGAAAAAACATTCAAATAATAATAATCATATTTTCGGGCATTTAACACACAACGCCATCTAGTTTTAAACTAAGCATAGCTTGTACTATGACAGCTAGATTCACTGATAAAATGCTTGTATGTTTTTTTTTGTAAATAAATGCATAATACTTATAAAAATATTTGCAGATCATACAAACATTTAGTCCGAAACGGGTATCGAACCCGAGACCTCAGCACAGCGAGCGCACACGCTTCCACTGTACCACCGAGGGTTCAGTCAAAAATATTCGCACCACAGTTTAATTACATTTAATTCGTAACCCAGGATGAGTACTTAGATTTGTGTGCTGGATATTGAATGGGGCACCCCCAAATTATTTCGATTGGGTGTCAACCTAATACCAATAAATAATTTGGGGTTGACCTATAAAAATGTGATGAACTTACTTCCGGCAGCTTCCACCTCCATTCAGCAGGTCTGAAGATGTTAAGGTCTCCCTCTCCAAAGTCACGTCTCAGCAGCAGGATTAGACGGCAGTTGCGAACGAACAAAGCGTAGTGATGACGGTTCATCTCTGAAACGAAGAAATAAACAAAATTGTACATAGATTACAAGGAGGTAGGGTTGAGATTTGAAAATATTTTGTTGCGCCACATGATTAAATGGTTCGATTGTATGACATGTGGAAGACAGCGCCATCTAGTATCGACTAAAGTACAACTATTAAGATTGTGGTAAATACGAGTAGTTCTGATCCTTACAGCGCTAGATGGCGCTGCAAGTAACGCGTGACTGATTCTGGAAAATTCTTGTTGCTTTGGAACGGACTATCGAATACTAGAGATTTTTCTAGTAAAATTCAAAAACGCTATAAAAGCGGAGCGTGTTGACCATTCGTGACAGTTTCGTTTTACGACAGTGAATTAACATCGGAGTGAATTTCTAGTGCGACTAACAAGATATATAGTGATTTCTAGTTTATTATAGTGAGTGTTTGTAAATACAGTTAAATAAAGTAATTAACCGACAACTTTTATTTACCCCGTTCGTAACAATATTGTTCATTTTGCGAGAGAAGACAATTTGAAGTGCTTAATAAAATAGTTATTTGTAGATTGTGGTGTACATAATGGAATACCGATTATAACAAAAGAGAGAACAAGAGCTATTAAATTGAGGGAGAGGGAGAGAAAGAGAGTGAAAGAGGGAGTGCGAGAGAGAGAGAAGAGGGAGAGAGAAGGGGGAGAGGGAGAGTGAGGGATGGAAAGATACAGTGGTTAGGCTCACAGAAGCACGGTGTGCTGAACAGATCGAGGCAGTATTTCACTCCGGTTCAACGCCTCCAACTCCATCTACGATATAAGGCGCAAGTTCGCATACGCAATGGCATCTAGACCGTATTCAACGAAGAGGGACTCGAATCGTCGATAGCCAACAGATCTCCGACCGGCTCGATCCCTTGGCGTTACGTAGAGATGTAGCTTCATTCTTTATCGTATACATCATGAAAAGTGCTCCAAGAAATTGTTCCGACTAATACCAGTCGCAACTTTCCACCATCGTTCCACACGTCAAAATTTTCATCCCCACCACTTGGATAATTGGCGCTCCACCATTATGCGCTTTTCAAGACACTTTTTGCCTCGCACAACCAATCTGTGGAACAAGTTATCGTCTGGGGTATTTCCGGACCGATACGACCTTCAAATCTTCGGCCGGCAACGCGCTTGTGACTCCTAAGTTGCAGGCGTTTATAGGTGTCGGTAATCGCTTTCCATCAGGTGAACCGTCTGCTCATTTGCCCCCTCTTCCAAAAAAAAAAAAATACCTAAAGAAAATACCTAACCAGTTAAATCGAAAACATGAATACTTACTGTGGTCATCAGCCAGACAGAAGATATGTTCCTTGCGATGCTTGTCTCCATCCAGTGGTGGTGCGTGCTTCATCCAAGTGGATATGCTAAAGGACCCCACCAGAGCGTGAGGCAGGATCGACTCTGGGACCACGGCAGCTGTCGTCTCTCCGTCGAACTCAAACATCTGTTCTCCATCACGACCTGGATTTTATCAGATAATAAGTGAAGGTAAATTAAGTGTAGTAAGTTCCTGTATAATAAAGTAAACCAAATCTTTCCGCTGAACATCTTCTCTCTCGGCTCTTACGACACCCACGGGATGAATAGGGGTGGCGACATTAAGCAAACCTAACTAACAACATACTACATTTAATCTGGAATCTTTTGATCATTATATTTCATAGCTATTTTAAACTGTAATTTTCATATGCTTGCCTATATAGATTCTGGCTCAAGACATAAAAAATATATTAAAGACCACCATTTAATTTATAAAGATCATCATCATCATCATCATCAACAGCCTTTAATAGTCCACTGCTGGACATAGGCCTCTCCTTAGAAAGGAGGTTTTGGTCTACTATACCACGCTGGCCAGACGGGTTGGTATAGGGTTTGTGTCAAGTTTTCCTTCTCTATGCAGTGCTGGTTGTCCTGCGTTAGCTGCCTTAGTCGCCTCTTACGACACCCACCCAATTTATAAAGAATAGTTCCAAATTACCTGAGTCTGGTTTAAGGGACTTGGCCCATTCGTTGCCGGCACCAGGGCTGGGCAGTAAATCGATCGTCTTGGGGTCCAAACCTGAAAGACACAAACATATTTTTGATTAATCGTCATCAAGCTCAATACTCCAAAATCAGTAATCTTGCTGGAGTCTTCTTTTACCACAAATAGTCCTCTGTGAGTGTAGTGAGTATGTGTCTCTATCGCAGCCGGAGCCGGCGCGGGAGGCCTGTAGTGTGACTGCGGCCTGGATGCGCGTGACGCCGGGACAGCGTTCGTCTGATGAGCATGTCTCCAGCCTTGCAGCCGGGAACAGCGCCAGGGGACCGGTGCCAGGGGCGTAATCTACACGCTCAGCAACTCCTGGAATACCAAATTTCCATTTAACTATGGACTTCGCTCTGACTGATTATTTCTTACTTCGTATTTCTAACATTAAAAATGATGAACTTCTTCCATTCAACCTTTCATCCTTTACTTAACCCCCCCCCCCCCCCCCCCCCCCCTACAACATAAAAAGCATCAGTTACCAAAATTCAGTTACCAAAGTTAGTCGGTCAGGGCATGTAATTTCAGACGTATAGATTTTCCTGCCTGATCTAACCGATGGTCCTGATCTTACTCGTAACGGAGCATGAAACTTAATGTATACCTTTGATATTTTAGATACCCTAAATCAGCTTTTAAGCTTTCAGATCAATCAAGTTGAAGTAAGTGATTGATTGGTGTATCATTACGGTAGGCAAGACATTAAACGAGGATAGAGGCCTTTATAACCAGATTACTTTCTTAAAAATATATATCACTCGTAATATTTATCAATTAGGTCATTATAATACCTATGTATGTATAGGTATATCATGTCCCGATATTGTCCCGAAGGAAATAAAATAAAGATGACATCAATACAGCTATGTTTGTAACGCAAATCCTTTTTTAAAGGAACCAAGTTTCTATATTAAGTGAAGTCATTATTTACTATCATGGATTCTTTGATAATTACTATTTCTGAAGATCATTTAAAAACCCACCCTATTCGCTTATACAATTAAAGTCGATCTTTAAAGTTTCCCCAAACGACCAACTACCGGGACTAAGTGAGCAACTGCGAGACGATCTAATTCATTAGTCCCGTCGCCATTTTCGCTGGATGCATTATTAAATAAACTAATGTTCATTATGGTAATCCAAGATTATCCAAGCTTAAATCACGTCAGATTGCGCGGCAATTATTCATTTAAATAAACTATACATACATTATGTAGGGCTGTAAAATTAACTCATTTTGGCAATTGCAGGTCTATTGAACTCTGTTTTTAATTTAAAAACAACGTACTGTGATGTAATATCTCGAATCGTCAGCATCCATGGTCAATATTTCACCAATTTTTTATATACCATCAATTTATATATCAGACATTCGTATTGTTTCCACTTCATCTCACTTCACTTCATCTTTGTTTAAATATCTTCATTTAAACGACTAGCTGTTTCAAATTTTATCAATCTGCCTTCTCAATGTGACCCTAGGTAGTCTATTACGGAAGCATATTCAGAAGTAGATGACATAAGGATCTAGAGGGTATCTTTATAGAACCTTGGGTAAGATTCATCAAGATATTTGTTTCAAATATTATTTTGAACACGTCAGTCTAGGGCTAGAATATTGTCATTTCTTACAGAAGCTTGAGTATTAAAGAAGAATTTCTTTTCTATTAGGGAGTAGCTCTTACCTTTCCAACCTGCTCTGCAGGGTTTGTTGACCTTGATAGTGACCATGACGGGTGCTGACTGCATCATTCCGCAGTCGTACGCCACCACGGATAGGATGTGGTTGTGGGACTTCTCGTAGTCAAGCGGTTCCGTGTTTCTGATGATACCTGGAGACCAAAACGTGTAATGTTTGTAATGACTGTAAGATCCCTCTATACATTCACTTAATGATTTATAATTAATTGAAACATAGTTTCGTTTCAGGTCATGACTTGTTTTTGTTGAAATTCGTCAAAACAGTAGGTAGTTCTTTATGTGTGTACGAACTAAATTGCAAAAATGTGGGCGTATTAATACGGACGATTGCGCGACGCGATAGCGAAGATGATGACTGAACGGTAGTGGTTTAAGCGGTCGCCACGCCGCTAAGTGTTGTGGGGACGAAAAGTCAAGGGGATAGGAACGTGAATCGTGTGTGAGTGTATGATAGTGTGTCTGTGTTTGTGTATGCATGTATACTAAAACCACAATAACATTTTACCGATAAGATGCTTTTAGCAGACCTGTTTCTTCACCCATTTAAAGGAAGCTATCGCCGTATTATTAAAAAAAAAGTGTGGTGTCAGATCGCTAATGTATGTTAGTGATGACGGGTTGGGAATTCCCATGGGCAGCGCAAAAAGGGATCGAGTACAGCTGACAGAACCCTTGTTTCGCATAGTTGAGGCAGGATTACCGTAGAGCTCCAAACACAATTAGGGCGGTAAGGGATGAAGGCGAAAAAAAACGTCACTCATCATTTCCCTTGTTGATCTCTGGAGAGCGATTCTGTGCTTTCCTTTATTTTATTACGAAAGACTTTGTATTAAGGACGCATGCTCTCAAATAGAGAAAATACTGCGAAAAATACCAATTTAACATTGTCATTGTATTTGTGTATTTGATTCCAACCATGGAATGGAATTAAACAAAATAAAGGAATTTCGCAACTAGTGGACAACCGACCCCAGTAAACTGTAATCTGGTTAAAATGGTCAGATCAGAAATAGACGAAAGGTAGATAGAAGCAAGTTCAGATAACTTGCTTTTTCTACCTACTTCGAAAGTAGGAGAGCGTGAGTTTCGTAACAGAATAGTTTAAAAAATGAACTTACCTTCATTGTCGATGGTGAAGGGTTGACTTCTGTCAGTGAGAATTTCGTATTTGCAGACGTCCCCGTACCTCGGCGTGCAATCTCTGTCGGTTGCCTCAACGCGCACGATCTCCTCGTAGATCCGACCCTCATCCACCGCTTTGACGTAAGCCGCCTGGCTGAACATGGGCGCGAATTCGTTCACGTCCGTCACTGTGATGTGGACTGGCACCCTGATGACAAAGGTTAGGTTTATCACAAGTTAAACTTAAATAATACAACCAAGAAGTAATCATAAACATGTTGTTTGGAGAAATCCATTTACTTGTCTTCATCACATCTTGGACTACAAATTCTGTCGAAATAGAAAACCGAATCGGTCCTAAAAGGATTTGTAAGCTTTCGATTGGCAAAAAGTTACAGTGTAAAAACGAGGAAGACACTGTGGACACTTAGTCCTCTGCAACTGTATGTTTATGTGTTTGTTACCTGCATTAATCACAGATGGAAACACAGCCAATAACTTAATTATGTCAACAACTACTGTAGAGTGCTGCAGGCGGTCCGCATCATGTGTTATCTATACTAGCTAACTACCAACTAGAACCGTAATTGTATTTCTGCTTATTCGTAATTAACGGGTTCTGTTGGCACTTCGAAATGAAGAGTGGCGTTATTTAACTGTATTCATTTGCAAGAGTTAGTGATGAAAAGGAAAGACGACACGACACAACGTTTCATATTCGTTTTTGCTTGAAAGTCCTATGTAGTAGTAATACAGACTTCTTTCTCCTGTACGGAACAGTTAGTATTAGATAAATACTGACGTGTTGGAATAGGAGCCGTCGCAGCCGACCGCAGCGATGTCGAACTTGTAGTTGCGCCGTTTCTCGCAGTTGAGCGGGTAGCGCACGCGCAGCCGAGCCTCGTTCTCGTCTATTACCATTATCTGTGGACAAAGAGTAAATATGTTTAAATTATTGGCGCTCTTTAACTAAAAATTACAAGAGCAAGTTTTATTGACGACGACCGCATGGGTTAGTGGTTTGTGTAACACTGCTATTCTAAAGGTCGCGGGTTCGATTCCCGCTCAAGTCTAACATTTGTGTTCATGAACATTTAATGTTTGATTTGGTCTGGGTGTTTCTATGTATAATATGTATGTATTTACAAAAAAAAAGTATATATGTATTTATATCAGTTGTCTAGTACCCATAGTACAAGCTCTGCTTAGTTTGGGACTAGTTGGCGTTGTGTGAATGTGGTAGAATATAATAATTATTATTATTTTACGAAAAACAGTTGTATCAGATCTTCACAAACGAAGAAAACTACAACAGACTAAAATGACAAAACTAAACATACAACAACAAAAACAAGAAACATTTGTTTCTTTACACCGCACACAAACAGTCTCACGTACTAATAAATGTCACAAAACAGTTTCATCTCACAAACATTAATCAACACGAAAGTAAAACCTTCACCAGGTTATAACAATATCACAGCATACACGGATCCTATTTAAATTACGTACTTGCAAATATTTTATAGAATATCAGCATTCAGACCCGGAGAACTTTATTTCTCTTTGGAGGTGAGGGTAAACGCGATAGGGTCCGAGCGAGGGCCGGGTATGCCCGGACGGGATAGATTCCAATAACGATAATACCCGGTTATTGTTGTTGCTTTCATATGTTTGACGACGGATTTATTGAACGCATTTCGAGGTGGAATTATGGTACGGTGTATTTAATAACTGGGCTTTCAGTGATAGCAGAGTACCAGAAAGGTTTGTTGGGATTCGTTAAGGTTCGGTGCACACGTTGTAGTGTAATTCTAAGGGACGGCTCACTCATGTGGATATTTGCCATCTTTTGATTGGAGAGTAGAACGGTTTCGCCACAGTGTTGATATAAATTTCAGGCATCTTCAAACACAACATTTGGTTTTTCATTTCAAAGACGTTGATATGCTACAGAACCTCTTAAATCTCGATTTGTAATACAATCGTTACAACTCTGCTAAACTTTCAGGTTTAAAAAAAAATAGGCATTATTTGCTGGCAAAACATGCTCATGTAACCTAAAGGTAATTTCAATAATTATAATTTGACACGTCGTGCTCAGGACTGTCTGATCACTAACTAGGCAGAGCCTGTACTATAACCAGACTGCTGATAAACATACTTATGTATATCCGAATACACATATATCATAAAAACTCATTTACGCAGGACCACAGCACTGTAAAGAGAAGAAAAACCTGAAACAAACCCCTTCCGTCTGGCCAGCGTGGTATACTAGGGCAAAACATCCTCTAAGAAGAGGTTATGACCAGGAGTGGACTATCAAAGGCACAATTATTTGTCTTGGGTAGGAATCGAAACCACGATCTCTTATCCAGCCAGAATCAATGTCCAATAGACTAAAAGGTCAGTCAAAGATACATCGCAGCTGTCAGAAATTCAGAATACAGACTAATGACTGATGTTAACAAATATGTTCGCTGCGAAATATTGCAATTTGACGAGATGCGTATGATATGTCCGCGAGGGCCATCCATCATACCGGAGCGCCTCTCCTCGGCCAGTCGCTAATTACAACCAAAATGGAGAACGAGTTCATTCGTTGAATTATAATGCCCAGAGGGAATAGATGCTTCTGTTATGTGTGTTTCTTTATCAAACTGTGAGGAGCGTTAAGTTATGAATAGGTAAACATTTTCAATAAAATAACGTAAACTTTTTCTTGCACTGTTAACTTTGCAGTATCGGAAGTGTTTTGTTATCCTTTAAGGCTCTTAAATTATGAGAAATCATAACAAACTGGCCTGTGGTGGAGTGACGATTTGCGCAAGATGGCTGGCAGGAACTGGATGCGAAAAAGCCCAAAATCGATTTAAGTGGCGTGCAATGGGAGAGCCTATGGACTGCGATAGGCTGATGATGATGATGATTTGATTTTTTGTTACTTAGATTAGAGGTCGAACACTTATTTTTCTAGTTGATTTTTTTCGCAAGGATAGACATTTTTTGCTTCGATTTTTTTTCTCTCAATTTGAGCTAGCCATCTTCCAGTAATCCTTCGAAGTCGGTGAAAATATAGTTATATCGGAATCTAAACATTTTCAGAAATTGTGTTGCAAGATTCAAGGGAATTATTTTAATTTTATTTTCAGAAATAGTATTTTTTAATATCATCTAAGTATATAAATAAAAGAGTGATCAGGAAGTTTCTTCTGCATCAAATTTAGACTACTTAATATTTCAAGAATACTAAAGCCAACGTCTAGACTATGGGAGTATAAGGTTTGGCAAGTTTACGTCACATGCGACAATAGACATGACCAATATAGCTGTAAGACGGAGGCGATCGATTTTCTATCAGGTACTACGGTTCCAAAACAGTTTTATTTTTGTCCTGGGACTTCCCGAGTGTCATAACTCGGTGTGTTCGTGGGTCACTGCTGTTGATCCTGGTGAACAGGAGTTACAGTGGTGTATGTGGGAGGGATTGGTCCCATAAAATAAAAGGTACTAAGGTGGTTCAAGTGCCTGTCGAACTGGTGCAGAACAGAAGAGTTTAAGCATATAGAAGGGTTTAATATAAAGTAGTATCTATACATTAATCCGTGAAAAGAATTCTTGGTACACACTTTACAGCAAAATTTTGCGGGCGAACGAGTACGAAAACAGAAATACTTAAAGTTTATGTGTTGGGAGGGTAGATGGGTAAAAATTTTCAATAAAATATGTGCTTATAAAGTAAAACTAACGTAAAATCGTTACATAAATTTATATACGTTCAAATATATGATGACCTATCACGGTACGAAAGATGGCACTTTCATCAAAGAAATAAACCAAAATTTGAATCTCTGAATATTTTAATTTGATTCTCGAATTATTTCCATTTTCTAAATAGTTCGGATTATATGACATACTTTATGTGTCATTAAACCCGAACTATACAGCCATTTGGTAGAGAAACTTTTAGTTTTACATTGAAGAGAAGAAAAGTATTCAGGAATTTTGCAGACGTTACTGGCTGCAGAGAGAAAATATACCACAGGAAATGTTTCTGCAAAATGTTTAGAGCTTGCTTTTTTGAATTGCGGACCAGAAACACTGTAATTTTAGTGCAGCAGTGACTTGAACGGTGTTTTGTTCACTTTGACACCTTAGAAGTGCTGTTACTTGAATCGCCTGGTATAAAGTGAACTTTAAAAGTAATTTTGCTTAGTCTAAGTTGTAGTTGTAGGTACTAGTTTTACAAAGTCCGTCAGACAAAGGCTTCGCAGAGTAAGGACACTACAAAGTTAAACAAAGACAGCAAAGTCTTTGACTTGCACAACTTTCATTGCGATGCCGACCTTTTTGATGGACTCAACAGAGACGTTTTACTAATACATACAGAAGGAAAAAATACAATACAGTAATAACTGTAGTTTTTATAAGTACTGTTTTGAAGCCTTAAAATCAAATTGAACACCAAACTAAAAGCTATATAATTAATCGTTTTTACAGACTGTAAAAATCTACGAGTATCATCGGCTTTTCGTGTCAAGTGAGCAGTGACTTTGACTATTATGCAGGGGTCGTGTGTTCGATTCCAATCCAAGATAATATGTATGTATTTAGTAATATCATCAACAGCCTTTAATAGTCCACTGCTGGACATAAGCCTCTCCTTAGAAAGGAGGTTTTGGCCTACTATACCACGCTGGCCAGACGGGTTGGTATAGGGTTTGTGTCAAGTTTTCCTTCTCTCTGCAGTGCTGTTGTTCAGCGTAGTTTTTTCCCTTAGTCGGCTCTTACGACACCCACGGGATGAATAGGGGTGGTGACACTCTGTATTCTTAATCCGTCACCACACGGACCTACTTACTACTTAGTAATATACCTACATAATATTGTTTTGTTTATTAGCAGCCAAAATGGCCATAGTACAGCTTTAGCTTAGTTTGGTATCAGATGGCCGTGTGTGAGATGTGTAATCTCACAATTATTACCAGTCCTTTTATTAAAAATGTAATATTTTAAAATTTTAATATGTTTATTTAACTAGTTGTCTAACTAACTTAAGGTGCTGGTGGTTCATTACAAAACTAAAATGACGTATGTTATCCATCCAAGACGAAAATATGACCAACTACTCTCTGTCTGACGCGTCTAATCTCTTAGTAGCTAAGATCCCGGGAGGGGGAGCCAACTGAAACCTCCGCAGTGTTTGGAAAACGATACTCAATTTATTACATCCATTTGTACGTCGAATATACGTCATGAATTCTTGTATTTCCCACGAGGATTTAGGTGAACTGTATTCATTTCATGTTATTTCTTACAACTCACAGAAAAAAATATAATAACAATTATGCCAATTCCACCATTCTAAACAATAGACCAACGTCTATTATTTAGAATGGTCTATGTTCATCTGGAATAATATACTTTTTCTATATTGAAGTTCTGCCATCATTATAATATTAGTATTTGTATGTCGATTATCGCGATAAAAAGTAGCCTATGTTACTCGCTGATAAAGTAGCTTCCCTTTGATGAAAGAATTTCCAAAATCGGTTTAGTGGTTTAGGAGTAAAAAAGTAAAAAACAGACTCACGTTCATATTTATATAAGTATGTATGGATAGCAAAAAATTCTGAAGTATGTAACCTAAAACTTTGAATACAGCTTCTACTAAACCTATAAACAAACAAAAAAAGGCAGCCACATTGTTAATAAGTTAAGTGAAATTGAGAAAACAGCTAAAGTATACTCCAGACAATTTTACAAGTTTCTTGGCATATTTGCCCCCGAGTCATTTGTCCACTAATACTGTACAACTGCTCAGCTCACACCACCTACTTTCTTATTTAAGTGTTGGGGAATGAAAAATGTTTGGCATAAATGTTTAACTAAAACGGCGGTAATAAATAAAAGTTGTAACATAAAATGGGGTAAAAGTTGCATTGTTGCAGAACACTTTACAAAGTGTTAGAGTTTCGTAAAGTACTGAAATAAATTCATTTAATTATATGGTCGAAGTTTCTGATAAATACATTTAAAGCTGTGAAAATCAGACATGCAAATTACGCATTGTGCTTGGCACTTTGAGTTCATTTCTTATTTTTTAAAGACATCTCCCGCATTAGCAATATATATCCTGTGTCGCCGGAGACAAACATACATAAAACGGACACAAAGAACACCCAGACTCAGAACAACAATTTGTGGATCACACAAACTGGTGTCCTATGTGGGGATCAAACCCACAGCACTCAGGACACTAGGAAGCGGCGTATCAAAGTTTATTATTTCTTCTTTAATCATTACTTTTTTCTTTCCAACAAAAAACAATATTAGAAAACTAAACAGAGACTTAAAAACTAAGTACTCGAACATAACTACTTAGGCAATTGAACAAGTTTTCTTAAAACAGACAGACGGAATTACTTCACTCACTTTTTACAACCGGCTGGAAACTTTGTCAATTGCTTTTAAAACAAATCTAGTATTAAATTGTTCGTAACGGGACACCAAGCCGTACTAATGCACTTTATTGCAGGCAATCCCAACTTTTTCATTTGTAGTTATTACACGGACGGACAGTGGCACTTTACCCGGCCGACTAAAACAATTTATAATTTGTACTGTATTTCACAAATAACTGTGTAACGTATCTAGTGAGGTTATGGTGGTTTCTGAAAAAGAAAGTGGAACTGATCCTGGCTTCTTTAAACTATCAACAACATCTGTATGTCATTTCCCATCTTAAACTTGTGTTATTCTTTAACCCTAGTTTAAAAGTTCCATTCGTCTTTCTTTCCTAGTTTACCTTTTTTTGTCTCATTTACATTCCCAAGGAAGTTTAGGGTCAGGAATGGGGTTGTCCATAGATTAAATTTTGCAATATTATTCATCAAGAACAGAAAAATGATGAATATCTATGTCCGTGTGGTGACGGATTAAGAATACGGAATGTCACCACCCCAATTCATCCTGTGGGTGTCGTAAGAGCCGGGAGCAAACTACGCAGGACAACAGCACTGCAAAGAGAAGGAAAACTTGAAACAAACCCTATATTAACCCGTCTGGCCAGCGTGGTATAGTAGGCCAAAACCTCCTTTCTAAGGAGAGGCCTATGTCCAGCAGTGGACTGTTATAGGCTGTTGATGATGATGTTATTCGTTAAGTCAGGACAGGGGTTATATCCAAATAACCGAGGTTTATAGAAAGCATCTTGTCTTAAGATGGCTGCTGCCTTAAGCATGCTGTAAGTGAGCATAACTTCAGAAATTAAGGACAAATTATGGAGATACTCACAAGTGTAAATCCTGGCCAAAACCAACCAAAATTCGACATGCGTTGTACCGCATTTTTGTTACAAACATTTTTAGTTGTTTCCAGTAAGTTTTATTCGACTGTCGCCGTGTCTCCTAACTTAACTCGCGTCAGAAGTTATCGTTTATTACCGTGCAGTGTACATTGCATTGTGTCCGTTACATTGCTGCGTCGGTATTGTGCAAATAGGCGTACTTTACGAGTCCAGTGAGCAATGTTTTTGTTGATTTAACGTTTGTTTACAGTAGTTTAATCGTTTGTGAGAGTTGAATGGGGTGGAAAGTTCAATAAAGGTAAATTAATGCTATTATTGACTGCAATATCTACACATACCTATCATGCGCATCTCCTTTCTAATTTAAAATAGTTTATTATTGAGATTATTATATTAAAACTAACGATACGTCTGTTAAATATTAACTTTGATTTTAGAAAAGTCAGCATAGAAACAGAACCCTAATAGACTTCTCCTCCCTTTGTCTTTAAAAGACATAAAACCCGTTCAACAAGTTTATTTAATAACTATCTGGTGCCCGCGACTTCGTTCGCTTGGAATTTGAAAGGCACTGCCTTAGTGGGTTTGATACCCGAACCCAGAAAAAATTTATAGGGTTTCTCTAAGAGAATAAAAGCCTAAGATACTCCTTAAACAGCTACCTGGTAGTAAAATAATATCAAAATCGGTTCAGCCGTTTTGAAGATTACCCGGAACCATCTCGATTACATCGGTTTTCGAACAAAAAAATCCGTATCGAAATTGTTCCATCTTTTCGGGAGCTATGATGAGATGCTATATGAGACAGACAGATAGATACACAGGTTAAACTTATAAGACCCCTCGTTTTCCATCGGGGTTAAAGAGGACTCCAATGGCGGCTGAAAGGCAACAGCTGGTGAACAAGAACATGATATTAATAATCAAGTCGTTTCAATTATTACTGACCTCGAAGGGCGCTTCTCCATGATGTTTGTTGTTGAGAATCAGGAAAGAGCATAGTGGGCCACGAGCACGGATGGGCGGTGTCACCTCTACCAGGGTCTCGTTCTCCTTGATCAGCCCGTGGTATCCTTCTTCTGGTTCCGCCAACTCCAAGTATGGAATGTCTGGAAAGAAAAGTTTACTTTAGAACATATTGTAATGATTAAAACATCGCGCTGGGTCGCTAGAATGGAATGGTGATTAAAACAGCGGTGGAACTTAAATTATTTATTGATTTTATATTACACTGCAATGATTTTGTGATTAACGTAAAGTGTTTTTCCCCAAATAAATAATGATAGCCACCATTTGCGCAAAATCGGCGCTTTATCTCTGTTCACGATTAAATACCAAAGATTTATGACCTTTTGGTATCATCATCATCAGCCTATCGCAGTCCACTGCTGGACATAGGCCTCTCCCATTGCACGCCACTAAGATCGATATTGGACTTCTCGCATCCACCTCCTGCCAGCCGTCTTGCACAAATCGCCACTCCACCTTTTGTCATACTAAGTTCAATTTGACAGAATGTTTAAATAATGTCGATATTCTTCCTAACCGGAGATCTGTAAATTCATATTTCCAAAACATTTAACTGAATGGAAAAATATAAAGTACCGAATAATTGATAAGTAAGAATCAATAACTTTCGTTTGACCGGGTACAAAAAGACGAAGATCAGGATTAAAGCTTTTTCGTTAAAAAATTGAATCCTATTTTCCAGCGAGGTATAAAAGATGCTATCGAAATGGCAATAAATTCAAAGAAAATATGATGGGAACAATGTTGCTTAAAAAGGTTTAGAATAAACTAGATAAAATTTTCAAGATAACATCGTACGTCCCTTACTGCATTGAGATATTGAAACTACTGTAAAAATAGCATAAGTAAGCAACACAGTGAAACTATAAACCACATCTGATACCATTATAAAACGGTACAGTAGTATACCGCCGACCGAAATCCCGGGCTAAGCGATTCTAAAGGAATTTCCCTCAACAAATTGAAATTGCGGAATAAAATCGCTGAAATATATTATATAAAGTTTTTGAAGATTTACTGCAACAAAAAAGGAATTGGCAATAGTGGCATTTAATAGACCCTGGCTTCTCACCAAAGGTTAAGAAAATCAAGTTTCAATTCATCCATCAGTCGTAAAGTCATATCGAAACGAACTTGTGTCTTAAAACTGAAACTTCCTTAGCGGAGGTTTCAGCATGGGGCCGACTGAATCTAGTCCATTTTAACCCAAAAAAGACACAGGTTTGCGCGTTTACCGCAAAAAGATACCGTTTGTCGTATCGCCTCGGTTCGAGAGCACCTCCCTAACTGCCTTAGCCAGTATTGTAATCGTAGGCATCGAGATATCGAGCGAAGTCCAGTTTCGCGGTCATTTAGAGGGTAAAGGCAAACTGGCCTCGAAGAAGCTCATATGGAATACTGTTCTCATCTCTATTCAGGGGCAGCTCAGTACCAGCTTCTCACTCTGGACCGTATCAAAAGAAGAGCGACTCGAATCGTCAATGGCCAAAAGATCTCCGACCGGCTCGATCCCTTGGCGTTATGTAGAGATGTAGCTTCGCTTTGCATTCTCTACCGTATATATCATGGATAGTGCTCTGAGGAATTGTTCGGACTAATACCGGCTGCAACCTTCCGCCAGCGTTCCTCACGGCAAAATTTTCATCCCCACTTCTTGGATATTTGGCGCTCCACCACTGTGCGCTTTTCAAGATACTTTTTGCCTCGCACTACCAACCTGAGGAACAAGTTATCGGCTGCGGTATTTCCGGACAGATACGACCTTCAAGAAAAGAGCGTACTTCTTCCTCAAAGGCTTGCTTGAGTTGCAGGCGTTCGTTGGCTGGTAGTCGCTTTCCATCAAGTGACCCGTCTGCTCGTTTGCAGATTCCATAAAAAAAAGTCTAAATATTAGCCTGAAGCTAACTCTCCTTGGGATTATAATCGCCTTTAGGCGAAACATAGGAAGAAGGTCAGATAGGAGAAGAAAACCGTATACGAGGAAGGAATTAGGGAGGAAAGTCTCGAATGAGAAACAAGATTGAGACTGCAGAAGCAAGAAAAGGCTGGGATTGTTTACCATATCTCCTTCGACCATACCATATAATTAAGATTATATTTCAATCATGGTCAGCCAATCGTGGCATTGTTTAGTAGAATTCAATTTAAATTCAACTGGACCAAGTCACGACAAAAGGCGATACGGAATCTATTTAAAACACAATGAAATAAAATCACTCTACTGCATTTAATGGTTTTACGGCCAGAAGTCAACCACTGACCTAATTCTTAAAACGATACAAGACAAGACAACACCAAATAGAATTTTCCATTATAAACAAAAGCATGTTCTTGAATATTCGGTAATAAAATGTGACAGTTAGTTGGGAACTCCGTTCAGTGAAGGCTTAGAGCGGGCTATAACCGTTAGGTAGGCCATTAGCCCCTCTCCTGAAGGGCTATCCACAGATTTTAATGAAACCGTCTCTTCGCTACAGTCCAATGCACTCAAAGTGGCCGTTTCGACGACAGTGACAGCCAATTTTTCTGTGTAATCTTGCTTAATGTTTGTTTATGATAAGGCTCTGAAAATGAGTGATCTGTAATTTATTTTTATAAGTGGAGTTATCGTCTCAAATCTTATATATGCAAAGAAATGTTTCATCATAATCATTACAAGCCTTTAACAGTCTACTGATGGACATAGGCCTCTCCTTAGAAAGGAGGTTTTGGCCTACTATACCACGCTGGCCAGTCGGGTTGGTATAATATATGTTTTTTTTAAGTTTTCCTTCTCTTTGCAGCGCTTTTGTCCTGCGTAAACTACGTTAGTCGACTATTACAACACCAACAGGCTGAAAAGGGGTGTCACTCCGTATTCTTATTCCATGACCTCACGGAATGAAATGCTTATCTTATTAAATTATTTATTTAAGTAATTAAACTTAGTATTAATGATATAAATAATGGCATCCGCGTCTGTAGGTTTATTCAATATTTAATTAGGTTATTATTCAATAACAGAAAACAAAAGCCGACACTTGTATTTCTCAATGATTCCAATATCTTATGACAATGCAGCCTACAGCAGGTCAGGTCTACGCGTAAATCGATCCGTATAAAATGTGCTCGTAAAACACTGACCCAGGAATCGAACACTACGCGTTCGTTTACGAGCGATACATTCCAGCTGCACTCCGTAAGCCGGTCCCGAGGGATTTCGCGGGATATTACTTACAGCGCTATTAGACACGTTCGAAGATCATTTGTTTGGCTAAGCCCGAATTAATTTTCTTGTTGTTAGCTGTTGCATAATGGATTACGTTCTTTCTTCTATATATTTTAAAAAGATATTGTTTTTGTATTGACAAAGTTAGTAAAACCCTAGTCAAAGCGCCTAAGGCGTCATACTTGCCATCAATTGAATACTGGTTGCGTTTGTGACTTTTTAAAGATGATAAAAGTCAAATTAATGAATTCTAAAAAGACAAAGAAGTTCCCTCAAGTAATTCGTAATTAGGTATTTTTATTTACAGCGAAGATGACTATTTTTTTTAATGTAATTACTACATAACGTATTGTTTCTATAAGTCATCATAATCATCATCATCAACTGCTTTTAACATTCCACTGCTGGCCTCTCCTTAGAAAGGAGGTTTTGGCCTACTATATCACGCTGGCCAGACGAGTTGGTATAGGGTTTGTGTCAAGTTTTCCGTCTCTTTGCAGTGCTGTTGTCCTGCGTAGCTTGCTCCCTTAGTAGGCTTTTACGACACCCACGAGATGAATAAGAATTCTTAAACCGTCACCACACGGATACTTCTTTCTTTTTGAAGTCAGAAACGAATTGCTTAACACTGATTTCTGTGAACCCGTTGATATCACTCTGATTAAGCCGCTTTATGTTCTAAAGCATGACTCTCCTACGCTAACTTCACCACGCAATAGTGTAAAAATTATAGATATTTTAAACACTGTTTGCCACTGTAAAGTTGCTTCATAATTTTTTTTACGTACGTATAGAAACAATACGTTAGTATATTAGTACTAGCTGACCCGGCAAACGTTGTTTTGCCATATACATTATTTCAAAAAAAAATTGTCAAAAAAATTAATTAGGTGTATGAAAAATAGATGTTGGCCGACTCTCAGACCTACCGATATGCACCCAAATTTCCACGAAAATCGGTCTAGTCGTTTCGGAAGAGTTAAACCACGCACACCGTGACACGAGAATTTTATATCTATATATATAAGAGATTTCCACGTATATAGTCACTCATCACGATATCTCTGGAACCATTAGAGCTAAAGACTTGAAATTTGGTAGGAATATTCTTTTCACCGAGTAGAGGTCAGCTAAGAACGGATTTTACGAAATTCCACCCCCAGAGGGCTGTGCGGGGCGTTGAAAATTAAATTTTTTCTTTGGCAAAACAACGTTTGCAGGGTCAGTTAGTAGGATATATAGTAGGCCAAAACCTCTTTCCTAAAGAGAGGCCTATGTCCAGCAGTGGACTATTAAAGGCTGTTGATGATGATGACGTATAGAAACAATACGTTATGTAGTAATTACATTAAAAAATATATTCATCTTCGCTGTAAATAAAAATACCTAATTACGAATTACTTGAGGGAACTTCTTTGTCTTATTAGAATTCATTAATTAGACTTAACGAGGATCTCGTGGGCGTCCAAAAATAAAAAAGCCCTCGAATATTAATAACGGATTAGAGTACCAAGCCTGCTATTTTTAGAAGCGGCCATTACGTAAATTACAAATTATGTTTATACGGGAATTTATTAATAAAGAAATGCCACGTCCGCCACTTCTATCGACCATGCAGCTTTTATGAAAACACTTTTAATAAATAGGTAGACAGAAAATTGTTTGAAATTTAAGAGCCCAGAGTGGAATATATTTTAACCGAATTCATAAAAGGAGACAGTTCTCAGTTCGGCTGTTTTATTTTATGTTTATTACCTCAAAACACCGACATCTATGCACCGACCGCTTGGCTTCCACTATTCAAATCCCCGAAGTGTGAAAATTTAAGAATGAAGAATATTATTAAAATTAATCACGATTTAGGCGCACTGGTTGTTTACTCCACTACATCAAGTTGTGCAGTGCAAGCCACCACTAATGTAGGGTCCGGAAATTACATATATTGGAAAGCTCAACAGCTCTGTGGATTCTGATTATATCACAAAATATTTCTCATGAGCAGCATTGCCATTTCCCCCCCTCAATCATCAATAAGTGCGTTGTTGAAAAACCAATACTATTTATTAGTAGGTTTCTCCAGCTATTTCCAAAACACCGTCCAAGTGTGTGCAACACTCTTCATAAAAGAGTAGAAAACAAGGCTTTTCACAGGAGTATGTCCATCCAGCCTTGAAGAGATCGCAAATCGCGATAATGCCGCCAGTTGTATAACTATTTTATATAACTAGTCTTACTTTCTTTGTGTAACTATCTCTCTAATAAAACTCATAAAAATGTATGGAAACTGTTTTATAATTATGTAATTTTTCTTGTACAATAAAGAGTTAT